CACTTGTGGGGATGAGCACTGAGTGTTATGTGGAAACTAATTTGACAATAAACTATTTGTAAAAAAAAAAAAAAAAAAGAAATAAGAAGAACTGGGAGGCCACTGTGAAAAGGGCAGACCATGAGAGGAGGGGAGGGAGGTAAGGCTGGAGATGGGCATGGCATGGTAGACCCCTTAATGATCTTTGTCTCTATCACAAGACTGTGAGAAGTCATTGAATATGAGAAGTCACAAGAACATGGAGATGGGTAGGAAGGTTGATTTGGTTCGTTCTGCAACAAAGGATCTTGAAGGATCCTTGGGTGTGAGGAAAAGAATGGGTAAAAGTGATGCCAGGAGGGAAGCAGGCACACAGTAAAGCATCCTCAGTAGCAATTACTGAGGTGTGAGGTGACACTGACTCAGGGTAAAGTCACATGTGGAGATTAAAAAAGCGGTTGGAAACCACCTTGACAAAAACTTTTTTTTTTTTAAAAAAAAAGTGGTTGGGTTTCCTGTGTGTTCTGGAGCCATACTCTATAGGACTTGTTTGTGGGAGTTGGAGTTTTAGTGAAGCAGAGGGGTGGAAATGAGCCAGTGTAGGGCACTTGCTCCAGCAGTGAGGCCATGGAAGGTAGCAGAGAAAATAAAATGGTAGAAAAGGAGGCAGCGGTGGCCAAGTGAGGGTTTGTTGGGTTTTTTTAATCATAGTAAACACTGGAAAAATCTTTATAGCAAAGAAGAGGTCAGTGAAATGGGAGAATCTAAGGATGCCTTAATGGAAACGAGTGATTATTGGAAGGCATTGCCTAAAAGGAGGGGAAGGTTGACTTCAAAAACACAGTTGGAGACCAGATTCACCAAGGAAGAAAGAGTTCCTTACCTCTGGGACTAATTGGGAGATAGAAAAAGAGACCTGGCATTAAGAGTCCTGGGGTCACGTCTCAGTCAGCCACCAGGTACCCATGTGACCTCAACCAAAGCACCTCCCCTCTGAGTCTTGATCTCACCCTCTGGGACACAAAGGAGTTGTCCTGGTTGTTAGTTCAGGGTGCTCTTAGCAGAGGCCTAGGGCTCCTGGGAACTGATTGCAGGGGCTACTACAGAAAGGGACCACTTTCACCTCTTTTACATATTGGGCTTCCGTGTAAGATTTCATATGAATAAAACATTCCACAACCTGATAAACTGCAAACCATAGATCCAGGTGATATCTAAGGATCCCTTCCAAGCTCTCAAATTCTACAGTTCTATAATGAATATAGAATCCAGAATAGGTTCCAATGCAGAGAGTCAAGGACAGGAAATCATACCAAATTATCTGTCATTTCATCACAGAAAGTGGGAGTTAGGTGTCGTAGGAACCTGAAGAACAGTACAGAGGTTTCAAACTAGTGAGTCACCAGCACGTCACTAAAAAATGAGCATTGCTGAAGCCATAGTGGAGCCTGACATCATAAATGTGAAGTCAGCATCACAGAAGGATTCAACATATTTTTTGGCAGCCTGTGTGGCCGAGAAGCACTAAAAACAGACAGTAGTGTGAACCATGGTGGCAGTTTAGCAAGGCAGGCAAAGTAGAAGTCCCAGGTAGTGTGTTGGGGGCAATATCAGTGTGACCCTGTGGCCAACCTGAGAACTGGAAGTTAAGCCTGACATTAGCCTGGGAACCCTGGGAACAAACCCTGACCTAATGAAGGCAAAGATTGGGTTCAGAGGAAGAGCAGGTGGATTAATGGAGAAGGTAACTGGCCAGAATGTGGAGTGACTGAGCTCAGCATCCAGTTGTAGCAGTGTTCTGTGATGACAAGGTCCATTACCCTTCTAGAAATAATAACTGCGAATGGTGTTGAAGTTGTAGAGTCAAGGACATTGAGTCAGATGTGTGTCAACCTGGATGGCGACCACAGTGCCATCTGACTTAGGTTAGAGGCAAATTGGGACAATTCAGGGAAATACTATTCCATACAGCAGGTAGTGAATATATGGTGCTCATTACTCTAGGAAGGAGAGAAAGTCTGAAATAGAAATAGTTCCCAAGAAGTAAGTATTTAAACAAAACAAAAGGAGTTTGGGGTTTGTCTTCAATTTTGAACCTTAATATCAACAAAGAAAATCATGGTTTCCTTGAAGGTTTGTTTTAGAGGCCTGAGCAGAGAAAGTATCTTAGGTTGAAGGAACCTCATTTCAAATAGTCACTTCAACTCTGATCCCCCTCTATGCCCACGCCCCAGAGTCATTTCCTGGGAGATAAGATTTTTGATTTTAAGAATACACTTTTGCTTATGACCCATTTGGTCTGAGAGAGAGACCCTTACAAGAATGACCACGTGGTCTGCATTGAAGGACACCCCAGAGAGGATCACTGAGATGTTGCTGAAAGAAGGCGTGGGGCCAGGTTCTGTAGACAGAGTCACAAGACTAAAGGCCGTGGTCATGCACTTTGGCTTATGCCTAACAGCAAGGAGATCAACTGTTCAAAAGTAAGCCTAGTGAAGACCCTGAAGGTCCCCAAGCTCAGCATGGCCCACTGAAGAAGAGAGGACCCTGGATTCCCCAACACCCAATTAGCAGCTGGAAAACATTTGTTTCTCCCATTAAACTGCGGTTCTAAATAAAAATGCTGCCCTTGGCTCCCTGTCCCCCTCCCACACACTTTGTTAACATGTGATTAAACACTCCAGCCCTAGCAGGCAGTCTTGGGGGTGGGAAAAGGTTGTTAGCTAGTGGTTCAGAGCAGTAAAGGCACTTGGCTAGGATCCTCAGTGCCCCAGAGATATAATTATCTCACGCACGATGGCTTTGCCACCTGTCACATCTTCTGGTTTAATTTTTTTTTAATAAAAAATAACGAGAAGGGTTGTTTTCTTGCTATACGACAGAGCTCGCTTTGTACTGAACTATAACAACACAAGCTTGCAGCAGTCGCCTCCTGAACTCTCTGCCCATGTTTTCTCTCTGCGTCTGTCTTTGTCTCCCTACCAGTATCTCTGTTATTTTCTTCCTCCCTAACTTGCATTCCACATCCATCTGGGTATCCATCTGAGCATGGTTACTCCACCTGCAATCTCTCCAGTTTACTCCCTTAACACCAAAGCCTTTTCTGATACGTTGCCCTCAATTGTTTTGTCTCAAATGCTTACATTCCCTGCTCCCACCCCTTCTTCCCTCCTTCTCCCCACTCTCCTCCCTCCCTTCTCCCAGCCTTCCTCCTCCTAGTCTCCCCTGGACTTTCCTATATGAACTTTGTAGCCTCAAAGTCTCCTAGAAGGTTCCACCTTTCAGTGGACTACCCTCCCCATTCGATGACCCTTCGAATCACACCTACCCTATGCTCCTGCCTGGAAGTTTCCCTCATCATCAAGGCTGCACATAAATGTCAGTTTCCTGAGCTTCTGTCAGGACACATGGCTGTTCCTTTAGGCCCAGTTGCAGCCCTCAGGCCAGGACTGTAATGGCCTCTCAGTTCCTAGCTGGCTTCTGTTGCTTATCTTCACTTCATACCCCAGCATTGCCAGGCTCCTGTTCGGACAGCAGTGGGGTCTGTGATGACCTTCTCCTGCCTCCGGTTTCCAGCTGGTGAGACCTTGACATCTGCAGAGAGGCCTCTCTGTCCTCCATGGCTCTCAGCAAGGTTCAGCATTCCCCACACGGCCTAATCTGACTTCATGGGACCTGTTGAACAGATGCTGTCTGCCACATGGCACCTTCCCTCTCCAGAGAGCATTGCTTCCACTTAGAAAATACTAGATTTATAGACTTGTCAGCTGGGGCAGTCCTCGGTTTCCACGTTCATACACACAAACATGCCAGGAGATGTTGACAGATAGGGTTTTCTCTCTTCAGAGTTGTTCTACTTCATTCCACACAACCGTCCGGTTCCTGTTTATAGTCATCCAGGGACATCAAACTTCTCTACAATTGCTGAACATCTTTTAAATGTAAGAATATGCATATGTGTCATTTGGTAACACCTGCTTTTTCTCTTTCAGCCATCGGATTTCCAAATCAAAGTTCAGGTGAGTGAAATGCATGTTCATCTTCTTTCCTACTGCCCACTAGCTCTCTCCCCAGCTACACTTTGGGTGGCCCAAGGTAACACCTACTGGGCGGGGCAGTACAGTGAAGGTATTCTTCTAAGAAGTAAACTGCTCTCTTCTGTATGGCTACCAAGAAAGTCTTTTAGATCAGAGCCAGCGTATAATTCAAGGGTTGATATTTGTTGAATTTTCTTTGCCAGTCTTTTTGGCAGCACCATCCCTAGGAGGTTGTGAAGCCCAATGTGTCTCCCTTCCTTATAAGATGAAGTCCAGTTAAAATGAATGTAATATGGACACTTGCTACTATTCTTGCCTACTTCATGTTTATGGAATACAATGAGAAATGAACTGTAAGGGTTATGGAATGCACATAGAATCACTACACTGCTCTGCTCCAAAACCTTCCACAGGACCCATGGTCTTCAGCCCCAGGTCTGCCTTTCCAGCCTCACCTCCTGTGTTCCCCTGCACATACTCTTCATTCCCACCACATGGAATTTCTTGCAGTCACCAGAATGTTCCCTGTCCTTTCAGACATCAAGGCCTTTCCATGTAGTCTTTCTTCTACCTGAATCACTGTATCCACATGTATTCATCTGGCGAATTCAGATTTTTGTTAAGAATCTCAAATGTTACTACATCTACCACACCCTCTGCAAACTCTCCAGGTCCTCCATTCATAGTGCTTTGTTCATACCTCTATCACAGCACTTAACATACTACAGTCCAGTTATTGGCTCATGGGCCTGTCTCCTTCAATATGCCTCAGAGAGCCTAGCTAAGTGTGGGTCCAAGGATAGACTGTCCATACATGTATGTTGCATGGATTAATGAATAGATTTGTGGAGTGCTGATGTGAATTTTCTCCCACAAAGCTTGTACATGCCAAAAATATTGGTTGTTTATGTTTTGTAATTGATCTAATCTTGCTTTCCTAGCCTCACCTACTGTGTAGCAGGAACATAAATAACACTAAAATTAGTCCAGCTGGGTAAATATAACCCAATGCTATACTTTAAATAGTCCCCGAAGGTGAAATGTTCAGTTTCTCATATTTCCATTTCCCCAGCTTTTCTCCAGGATGGAATCTAGATGCATGCGTGGGGGGCAGGGAACTTCAAGATCCTGGGAAATAAACAAGCTTTGATGAGGGCTGCACCTAGAATCCTTCTGAGTCCTCTTCCTATCTACCTTGTATGATGGTTAGTCTGGGCTTCTCTCTGAACTGGCCCTACTGGGGTGCAACAGTCTATTTAGTTTAGACATCTACCACTGGACTCCATGCTTCCCCATATTTGCATTTGTTCTTGAAATCTCCACCTCTGCTCTCTGATCCCAAAGGTGTGTCAGTCCACTGACTTCACCTCCACACCTCATCTGAGTGCATGGACACTTCCAGGTCCTTCACACTCCATAAATAAGCTATGGGAAACCCAGAGCACTATGGCAGGCTCACCTACCTACCCTTCTCCCACCACTGTATTTGCACCAGCCTGAATAGAACTCTGAGCCAAAGGCTGTTGTTGTCGTCCCAGGCAGCCCCCCATACTATACCCAATAGAGACCACCTACTAGCCTCAGTGTCTCTGGGCTTCCCCATGACTATTTGGGTATTTCTAAAGCAAACTCTGCAACCTTTTAGACTTCACACCAGGGCTGAGAATTAAATGAGGACTCTGGTGTCTGATTTTTACCTCTATTTCTGATACCTTCTTTCTCCTGTAATTTGCTGGAATTAGAAATTTCAGGCCTCTCTCCCCTTCCTCTTTCTCTCAAGCCAAGACTTACTTTACACTAAAAAAATCTGGGGTCAAGTCTACCAGGCCTAGCTGGTACATGAAAGGAGTTCTAGAAATATAAAAAATCCTTTCTCTCTCAATAATGCTTGAATTTTACTCCTTTATCTTCAGCATGTGGAGAAATGGCATATATACAATAGGAATGAATTAATATCTGATGAATGAATGAACGAATGGTCTTGCCTTAAATAAGACAATAGACTTACACAAACTCAAACAAAATATCTAATCTCCAAAGCTGAGAAAGCATTTGTGTTTCTGACAGTTCCAATGTTTCAACATAATAAGAGTAAAGAGATATAAAAGTCCATTTGAAAATATTTCCAAAATATCATTCTCATTACATGTAAGTGAATGAATCATAAATGAACAAGTGATTAAGTGAATGAATGAATGAATGAATGAATGAACATGATCCAAAAGATTGGAAGAGAAATTACATCTTAATATGGACTCTGTCTAGTGAAAGATTACCCAAGAGACTCTGGAAACATTTTTTTTATTCCGTGACCCATGGTGTAACCTGTGCTTTTGAAAAAGGAGAGGAACAGTGATTCCCCTAAACCTCAGGGCTCTTGGCTAAGCTTTGCAACTCAGCTCAACTTGCTATTTACTTAATGTCCTGTATTCCAGCCATTTGATCTCTGGGAAGAGTTCCTCCCTCTACAGCTACTATTCAAGATACAACAGAGTTACTGAGAAAAGACTTTGTATTCCCAAAAGGCACACTCCTAGTAGTTTGTCACTATCATTCAACCCATTTTCAGATGAGGCTGAGAGATATAGACGGTCACCCGGCTTACATAGGGCCAAGTGAGAACCCACACCCAGGTCCCATACTGCTAACCACTGTGCCAGCCTAGTGATAAGGTTCTGCCCGGGAATACTAAACTCTGCTTCTGCTCAGCTATTATATCTTAGGCATGGGCAGGCAGCTCTAGCAGGGCTGTTGAATAGAGATATAAGGTGAGCTGCATAAGCATTTTTAAAATTTTTCTAGTAGCCATGTTAAAAAATAGAAAAAAATAGGTGAGGGGTGCCTTGGTGGCTCAGCCCATTAAGTGTCCGACTTCAGCCCAGGTCATGATCCCATGTTTCGTGGGTTTGAGCCCTGTGTCAGGCTCTATGATGACAGCTTGGAGCCTGGAGCCTGCTTCAAATTATGTATCTCCCTCTCTCTCTGCCCCTCTCCTGCTTGCATTCTGTCTGTCTCCCAAAAATAAATAAACATTAAAAATACATATAAAAAAAAAGAAAAAAACAGGTGAAAATAATCTAATTATTTAACCCAGTGTATCAAAAACATTATCATTGCAACATGTAATTAATATAAAATTTTTTGTTTGTGTGTGTGTGTGTGTGTGGGTGTGTGTGTGTGTTGGTTTGGTTTTTGGTTTTTGGTGTTTTTTTCCAAATTTTTATTTAAATTCTAGTTAGTTAACATCTGGTGTAATATTGGTTTCAGAAGTAGAATTTAGTGATTTATCACTTACATATATCACCCAGTGCTTGTCACAAGGGCCCTCCTTAATCCTTATTGCTCATAAAGCCCATCCCCCCACCCACTTCCCTCCATCAACACTTCAGCATTTATCTATCTTTGACTCCTTATGCTTTGCTTCCTTCTCTCTTTTTTTCTTTTTTTCCCTTTCCTATATGTTCATTTGTTTTGTTTCCTAAATTCCACATATGAGTGAAATCATGATATTTGTCTTTCTCTGACTGACTTATTTTACTTAGTGTAATACATTCTAGCTCCATCCATGTTGTTGTAAATGGCAAGCTTTCATTCTTTTGGTGGCTGAGTAACATTCCATTACATATATATGTATGCGTGTGTGTGCGTGTGTGTGTGTGTGTGTGTGTGTGTGTGTGTGTGTATACATACCACATCTTCTTTATCCATTCATCAGTCAGTGGACACTTGGGCTCTTGCCATAGTTTGGCTATTGTTGATAATGCTACTAGAAACGCTCTGGTGCATGTACCTTTTGAATCTGTACTTTTGTATCCTTTTGGTAAATACCTAGAAATGCCATTCCTGGATCACAGAGTAGTTCTATTTTTAACTTTTTGAGGAACCTCCATACTGTTTTTCCACAGTGGATGCACCAGTTTGCATTCCCACCAAAAGTGTAAAAGGTTTCTCTTTTTTTGCATCCTCACCAAAATCTGTTGTTTCCCATGTTGTTAATTTCAGCCATTCTGACAGGTATGAGGTGGTATCTCATTGTAGTTTTGATTTGTATTTCCCTGATGATGAGTTATGTTGAACATCTTTTCATCTGTCTGTTAGCCGTCTGGATATCTTCTTTGGGAAAATGTCTATTCATGTCTTTTGCCCATTTCTTCCCTGCATTTTTTTTTTTTTTTTTGGTGTTGAGTTTGATAAGTTCTTTATAGAATTTGGATGCTAACCTTTTATCTGATATGTCATTTGCAAATATCTTCTCCCATTCCATCAGTTGCCTTTTAGTTTTGTAGATTGTTTCCTTCACTGTGCAGAAGCTTTTTAACTTGATGATGTCCCAATCATTCATTTTTGCTTTTGTTTCCCTTGCCTTCAGTGATGTGTCTAGTAGGAAGTTGCTACTGCCAAGGTCAAAGAGGTTGCTGCTTGTGTTCTCCTCTAGGATTTTGATGGTTTCCTATTTCACATTTAGGTCTTTCATCCAGTTTTTATTTATTTTTGTGTATGGTGTAAGAAAGTGGTCCAGTTTTATTCTTCTGTATGTTGCTGTTCAGTTTTCCCAACACCATTTGTTGAAGGGTCTTTTTCCATTGGATATTCTTTCCTGCTTTGTTGAAGGATAATTGACCATAATATAGCTGTGGATTCATTTCTAGATTTTCTGTTCTGTCCCATTGACCTATGTGTCTGTTTTTGTGCCAGTACCACACTGTCTTGATGACTATACCTTTGTAATGTAGCTTAAAGTCTGGAATTATGAGGCCTCCAGCTTTGCCTTTCTTTTTCAGGATTGCTTTGGCTATTTGGGTTCTTTTGTGGTTTCATACAAATTTTAGGATTGTTTGTTCTAGCTCTGTGAAAAATGCTAGTGGTATTATGATACAGATTGCATTAACTGTGTAGATTGCTTTGGGCAGTATCTACATTTTAACAATGTTTGTTCTTCCAATCCACGAGCATGGAATTTTTTGCATTTCTTTGTGTCCTCT